GCCATTTGAGTAGCAATCAAGTTGTATATACTAGAAAACAAATTTTCTCTAACAAAGCAAGGAAAAAGTTAAGTGACTTAATTGGCTTTTGGATTTATGAAGACATTATATCAGAAAATAGGATACAATAGCCTTCTCATATCCACACTATGTAGAACTCATTCCCTAAAATCTCACTCACTCTTTGTTACTGAGCTGATTCTGACTCCTAGATCCTCTATCGGGTTTCCAAGCCAGTGACTATTGATGGGAGGAGATTGCTCATCTTTCCTCTTTTGAGTGGCTGTGGGTTTGAACCAACAGAGCTAGGAGACTTTTGATTAGAAGCACAACACACTATTGACTATGTCACCAGACCTTCTAGCCCACTTGTAGATTTTAGTAATTTCTTATTGGAATTGCCTTGGTGTATTTAGAAAGAATTTCTCTTTTTATTGTGTAATACATTGAGTAGCATAATTTTTTTTTATGTTTTTGTTATGTACCATCAGGTCAGAACCGACTCACAGCTGACCCTCCAGTGGGTTTTCAAAGGCTGTAAATCATTTGAGAAGAGACTGTCTATCGAGAAGAGACTGTCTATCTTTCTCCTGCCAAGTAGCTGATAGATTCAGACTGCATGCCTCTGGGTTGGCAGTGTACCTCCTCACCACTAGGCCACCAGAGCTACCTAAATTTTTTTTTTTTGGCAGTGGCAAGAAGCTGTGCTGCAATCCTGAAGGTATGTGGTTCAAGTCCACCAACTGCTCTGCAGAAGAAGGATGGGAAATCTCCTCCTGTGTGATTAACTGACTCTGAAAACCTGTTGGAGGGTCAGCTATGGGTTGGTTCCAACTTGATAGTACAAAACAACAATTTAAATCATAGTCCCTGTTGACTATCATCAACACAAATGGCTTGTCCACAGACCTGATAGGGATGAGAAAGACAGTGTGTGGGCAAGATTCACATGAAAAACATGTTTCTTCCTAGGCAGTTTACAGCCTCTGAAAACCAGCTGTGAAAACAAACACCTGCTGGAAGGGCAGTTATGAGTAGGCTCTGACTGAATTGCACACACATAACAACTTAGTGTTAGCCAACAGTGTTAAGGCCTAAAAGATGCATTTACCTATACAGATCCCAAAATTTCTCCAACAGGGTAAAAAGGGAAGCCACAGACTGGGAAAAAGTATTTGGTAATGACATATTAGATATATATGCAGAATTTATTAAAATACTTGAGCACCACAACAAGATAAAAGCAAATAATCCAATAGAAAAATGGGCACAGGATATGAACAGACACTTCACCAAAGAAGACATTCAGATGGCTAGCAAGCACATGAAGAAATGTTAAAAATCAATAGCTCTAAGAGAGATGCAAATCAAAACAACTATGAGATATC